AAACAAAAATTACATACTTATCCTATTCAATAAATAATTGATTAGTTTTGTTTATTTCATTTAATTTTCACTAAAATCAAAAAATTAATTAAAGATTACATTTTTTGATCAAAAATTAGTAAGATAGGAGTACGTTTTATTTTTTAATTTTTGCACCACATTACATTGAAGTTGCTAAAATAATATAAGAATGTTATCGTCTTAATTTAGTGTTTTATTTATTTCGTTTTCCTGTCAAAAAGCAGTTCCATTATTTCATGATCGCACTGAACTCTTATGAAAAAATGACAATCCACATAATCTCAATTGTCTTACTAAAGTTATAAAATTTGTTATACAGATTAAATCATATTCCTTTACATAAGTCCTCAAATAAAGAAAAAGAGAACAATATAAAACTAAATAAAAAATTGACAACAAATATTAACATACATATTAAGAAGCAAAGAAAATATATTAAACAAACAATTTTAAAAAGGTAATAAAACAAATAATAAAGGAAAGGCAATAATGCAAAGAAGAAAATAAATAAAAAAACAGAAAAAACTGCGCTCAGGTTTTAAATAAAACTAAAAAAAAGTTTATAAACTTAATTGTCTTAAAAAAATTAATCGTGTACATTCTGTAGCTGGTTTACAATTTTATGCTTTAAGGTAGTTACTATATTATAAGCAAGGGATAAAATTGATTTAAAAATTGATGTCTATTATTATAATTTGGTGTAAAAATTTTACTTAAAAAAATAAACAAAATATCATAATTTCTGAAAACAACATTTTTCACTGAAATGGTCATAATTAAAATTTCCCTTATTTCAAGTTATCCAAATTTACAAGTGAGAAAATATTTTATAATTTTTCTAAAACTGATTTTGATTAAAATTTGCAAAAATCATGTCCACTAAAAACTGTTATCAAAAATTTTCAAAAAACACTAAGTACCTCATTATTTATATGATTTTTTAATACAACTGTATTTTTCCAAAAAAAAAAACAACACGATTATAAAAAAATCTTTATATTTAACAAGAATCACTTCAATGTATTTATTTGAATTAATTTATTTTTAAATTTAAAAAATGAAAGCAACTTGCAAAAATTTGTTTTTCGCCTTGTATCCAAATTGATTAGATTTAAAAACTGTTGGAAAAAAAATATATGAAAATAATAATAAATTAAGAACAAAGAAAAGAAAAAAGCAAAAACAAAACAAAAACTAAAAAAACAGAAAATATAAGAAAGGCAAGTGAAAGAAAAAGAGATAAAAATACAAAAAAAGCAGAAAACAGTCAGGTTTTGAGTAAAATTAAAATGAAATCGTCAATCAATAAGCCTAAAACACAAATCATAAACATTTTATAGCTTGTTTACAATTTTGTGCCTTTTAGGATAGTTAATAAAACTAATATAAAAATGAAATTTTTGCATCAATATGGTATTTAAATTTACCAAAAAAATAAATATAAAACAATTAATTTCTAAAAGCAACATAATTTTCACTGAAACCGTTGAAAATTTTATTATTATCATAAATTTGTAAAGAAACATTGTTAAAAACAGTCCTATTTTTTCCTTTACTTATTCTTTAATTTTTTAATCTTAGTAAAACTATTTTTAGCCAAAATCATCATTTAAGAAGTAGTTTCAATTATTAAAATTTATGTGAGAGAATCCAGTTTTTCATACACTTACTTCAATTCCTGGAAATGGAGTGACTTCTGAACCAGTAGCAATTAGCACATTTTTGGTATTAACCACTTCTGACGATCCATCAGGTTTTAAAGCTGTAACTTGATTAACACCTGTAATTTTTCCATGCCCATTGATCATCGTAACTTTATTCTTTTTAAAAAGTTGGGCTATGCCCCCAGTTAGGGCCTTGACAGCATTTGTCTTCTGTCCCATTAGTTTGTCTAGGTCAAGTCTGACATTGTCCACGCTTATCCCACGTGCAGCTAGGTCACCGGTATGGGCCATGTGGTAATAGTGTGAGTTGTTGAGTAAGGCTTTTGACGGTATGCACCCCACGTTGAGGCAAGTGCCCCCCAAAGTGGGCTCTTTTTCTATACATACTGTCTAAAAATTCTCAATTAGGCAAGAAATTACATTTTTGTTACTCACTTTTAAACCAAGTTGTGCGGCTTTAATCGAAGCAACGTAGCCCCCAGGCCCTGATCCAATGACGACTAAATCGGCATCGTGAGTTGTTGAATATTGACGGTGGTGAAAGACAGTCAGGGCCCCCCGATTGCACCTTATCTGTAACAAATCTGATATTATCGTGTGACCTTCGACACGAAATTTCGTACATTTTGATATAAATTACGTAAACGGTGACACAATAATAAATTAAAAGCGATGTTAATTGTAAAGAATTTTTGAGGTTATGTATTACGTAAACTTACATTTCGTAAAAACTACATTTAATCTATCAGCTAATTTAGCAAAATTATTCAAACTTACCTTAAGTGATGAGGAGACAACATTTCGAATTGCCGATTGCATTTTTTAAATCAATTTTCTTATAATAATAATGACAGCTGACTATAATGACCTCCCGGTGACCGACTAAATTGTCAACTAGTGGCGCCCTCTTTTTCAAATTCATCATTATCAGTGTTGCCATGTTTTAAGACTTGTGAAATTTATTATTAAAAAATTGCCATCTTTGAGTGTTCATTTATGTAAAAAAAAAACCTTTGGCATAATTGGAAATACACATGTAAATCATAATTTTGTAATCTCGTAAAAATTAATGTAAATCTGACAACTTTTTCAGTTCGGGTCTGGTGAATTTAATTAATTTGCGCTGTCAACCCTGCATTGTGCGCATGCGTGTCAGCATTTTGGTTTCTGTCAAGTAATATGGCAGCCCTAAAAACCGAAATAAATCCTCAAGACAACGAGGATGAAAACGAAAATGAGAACGAAGTGGAAGAAGTAAGTGCAGAGGGTGTTCCCGGTGACGCGACCAAGAAGAAGAAAAAGAAGAAGAAGAAGAAAAAAACCGGTAAGTTGGATGTCACGAGTGGCGTGATTTTACTCATGCTTGTGTATTTCAGCGAATGAAAATAACGAAGAACGTGTCGTTGAAGATGGAAAGATCGAAGAGACTAATGATGCGGCTCAGGAAGGTGAAGGAGAGAAGAAGAAGAAGAAACGCAATCGGAAGAAAGGTAATGTGAGAGCAAGGTTATCAGAACTTATCAGGTATCAGTTTGTTTAAACCGGTTCTGTGTCTCGTAGAACGCAAATTTGTTAAAATTGAGTAAAAAAAAAATAGTGCGTAAAATAGTTATTTTAGGTACTCAGTCCCCAAAAACAGTTTTTCCGGACGAAATAGTTATTTATTCTACGAGTTTGAGTGTAAAACGGACGCATTATCTGGAATAAAACGTCCGATTTACACTCAAAGGAATTGAATACATTTTATTCTTCGAATCAGACTCAACAAAGCTTAAACTTGCTTTAAATCTGTTAAAAATTATTTGACGTTTCGTATTGAGAAATGCCAAACAGTTGTCAAAACTTCCTTACACAGAAAAACCGTAAATTTTGACAGTGTCGAAGAATAACAGTCAATTTGGTTACTATGATGGCGAATTTTTTTTAATTAATAAGAGGTGTGAATTTGTTTTTTGGGAACTTTAACAAAAAAAAATGTTGTATGTACACGTACCGGAAAAACCAACGATTAGTGTGCAATAACTATATTTCAAGTACACTCAGAAAAGTAGAAAATGTCGTGTTCATAAACCGACCCTCATTATTTGAGGCCTACCTAACCGCAGTTATAAACCGTCTGCGAGGAGAAAGTAATTAAAATGCTTTTGCATTTAGTCTCAACATTTCTTTTAAGTAAATCTTGTCATGGGATATTATTTCATTAATAATTAATTAAACGTGTGTGTCTTATACGGCAACTTTTTATATAGTAACTTTTGCTTGCATAAGAAAGTTATTAGACTCTTAAATCCACCAATCCCAGAAGGATCCTTCAAAATGTAATTTTACAACTCACAGTTTCTTTATGCGTTAACACAATAGGACACAGCAGAATTGGTCAGAATGACAGAGGATAGAGGTTAATTTTTATTAGACAATTTTTTTCATACACTAAAAATCCCATAAGCCGCGGTGTTTTTGTCACTTTGACAGCGACAAAAGTTTGCCCTAACTATTACAGTGACAAAACGGCACCTAACTTTTGAAAGCGTCTGAAAATCAAATTGTTATGAGAATTGTGTTTTTAATAATTGTACTTTCCATTAAATGAAATAAACTAATTTATACCTTATTTGTTAATTTAGTGATTTACGTACCTATTCATTAAATTGTCTTACCGAATTACACTCAAGCTTTTTTTACGAAGAAAACTTGACATTTTTAATTCGACTTTTGTTTCCTTTAGGCAATTTAACTCAAAAAACTGCCAGAAAGAGAAGCAGTTTTTTTCCTTAAATTGCCAGAAAACGAAATTCTCATTAAAATGTCAAGTTTACTTCGAAAAAAAAAAGCTCTCGTGACAAATTCATTTAACTTTATGTTAAATTTTACCGAAATGCCACTGATTTCTATCCAATTTTATTGTGACGCATATAAAAGAAAATTTAGAAAATTGACATTTGAGGAGCAGACTTTCAAAAAGTAGTTTGTCCAAATTTCCATTTTTGCAGGAGAGAGTAAAAACTGTCCTTCTTTTAAGAAATATTTTATTTCCTACGAGCATATACGAAACTAGATCATAACGCACAATTACATATGCGCGAAAATTGGCAATATCGTTCGAGGTGCGATTTGTTTTCGCGCTGTGTGCTAGAAATCAAACGCACAATTCACACTCGAATGTTTTGTATTTTTTCATTCAACGTATTTTTTTTTGTATCCATTATGAAAAATAAATCGTTATTCAACGTATTTTTGTATCCATTATGAAAAAAAAATCGTTATGAAAAAAAAATATGTTCGGAAGAAAAATATTATTTATGGCCGTAGGAAAAATAGTGTACAAAACTTGCAGGAAAGTGTCTAACGCACTCGCGCTTGTGCGTTATTTATCACTTTCCGTGCTCGTTATGTAATATACTATTTTGCCATAATTAAAATACATAAATGCTCTCTGTGAAAAAACAATTTTCATTTTTGCACATCTTTCTAGGTTAATTGATGGTGGTTGATTACTTAGCGACGAAAAATCAAGAAATAATTAAATCCATTTTTACATTGTGTTTTGATTAGTTTAAAAATACACAGAAAAGTGATATTAAATGAAAGAGAAGGCTATATATTTTTTATTGTAATCGTTTTATATTTTACAGAAACTTATGAAAAAATAATTTAAGAACATTTTTACTAACCTCAACTATTTCACTTATGTAATATCTGTTTGTGTCGCTTGTGTTACGCGACAATGTGAAATTTTAATGTAAAAATGTGGATTTGATGTTATTCTTGATTTAAACTGGTGTGACATGACCAAATTCGCCCCCAAGTTTTATCATAAAATATCAAATCCACACATGTCCAACTGCCTGATAGATGATAACGGCCATTATCGAAACGTAGCCCTAAAATAAACACTAGTATTTTTTTGCAATTTTTATTTCACGAAATACTACAAGTATCAACTCTTAAGGAAACGAAATCACATCCTAATTTAATTTCAAAGTCGTAGGCCACTTTTTGACTGTTGGCTTTTCAGGTGGTAAACTCACTCAAACCGATCCACCCACCGTCCCCATCGTAGATTTATTCCCAGACCAAGTGTTTCCCATTGGAGAAATCCAAGAGTACCCCACCAAGCAAGATGATCGTACTGCCAAAGATCGTTTCACATCGGAAGAAAAACGCACTTTAGACCGCATGCACAATGACATCTATAATGAAGTGCGTCTGGCAGCAGAAGCACACCGTCAAACCCGTCAATACATCCAGAAATGGATTAAACCTGGCATGACAATGATCCAGATCTGCGAAGAATTGGAAAATACAGCTCGAAAATTAATCGCTGAAAATGGTTTGAAGGCCGGTTTGGCTTTTCCCACAGGATGCTCCCGAAATCATTGCGCTGCACATTACACACCGAATGCAGGTGATCCGACCGTTTTGGAATATGACGATGTTGTTAAAATTGATTTTGGTACTCATATTAACGGAAGGATTATTGATTGTGCTTTCACACATACGTTTAATCCAAAATATGATAAGTTGGTGGAAGCGGTGAGAGATGCTACCAATACTGGGATCAAAGCCGCAGGGATTGATGTACAGTTGTGCGAAATTGGAGCTGCAATTCAAGAAGTTATGGAGTCTTATGAGTTGGAATTGGACGGAAAAACTTATCCGATTAAGTCAATTAGGAATCTTAACGGACATTCTATTTCGCCGTATAGTAAGTGAGATTTTATGTTTGTTGTTTGAATTTTAATCGGAATTTTTCGAAGGGATTCATGCGGGGAAAACAGTACCGATTGTTAAAGGAGGGGAAGCTACTGTTATGGAAGAAAATGAGTTTTATGCTATTGAGACTTTCGGATCGACTGGAAGAGGGGTCGTTCATGATGATATGGATTGCTCGCACTATATGAAGAATTTTGAAACTTCCTATGTTCCGTTACGGTAAGTAAACATTTTTTTTTATTATTACTGATTCTTAAAAGTAAAAAAAAGTTAAATGTATACTCCACTTACGAAGAAATTGTTTCATAAAACATTAGCGTTCTACTTACGAGAACCATGACTGTAAATAAAAACCTTTTCAGGCTCCAATCATCCAAAACCCTTCTAAACATTATTAACAAGAATTTCGGAACATTGGCGTTCTGTAAGCGATGGTTGGACCGCGCAGGCGCGACCAAATACCAGATGGCATTGAAGGATTTATGTGACAAAGGAGTCGTCGACGCTTATCCCCCTCTATGCGATATCAAGGGTTGTTACACCGCGCAATTCGAACATACCATCATGCTTCGTCCTACTTGCAAAGAAGTGGTATCTCGCGGTGACGACTACTAATGTTTGTTTCCTCTCAATATTTTTTTTTGTAAATGTTTGTCATTTTGTTTACAATGCATTGTAAATAAATAAAACGTTTTTTTTTTCTCAATTTATTTGTATTTATTGTATTTAGAACAAAATTTACAAAATCGTATATATTAAAACTTAAAGGGAACAAAATGAAGGAAAAAGCACAAACACCTGAAATCATCAAAAACGCAGGGATACAACAAACCAATGTGTTTGCTCCGTTGCGTGACCCTAATGATCAAGTTAGTAGAGTATCATCGAGTTCTTCTTCCTTTCCTTCGGTCTGCGACATGATTTTCTTCAACACTTTACTGACGACGTCAGCGAGGGATTCACGCGCTCCAACGTCTAGAATGCTGAGACAACGCTACAAAAAAATATATTAAAAAAACAATATTTAAATAAATTTTATCATACCTGTTGCATAGCATCGCCATCTTTCAGCCTCAAAACTGCAATCAACGCAAGTTCTGAATTTGCCTTAACATAACCGTTCTTCTCTTTCGTTCCGTTAACTAAAGTTGGTAAAAGCAGCTTCAACAAGTCTGAAGACATCTTCTCCTGGGGTACGGTTTTAGCCAAATGTATGCAAACTCGAGCCAAGAGTTGTTTCACGTCGTTATTATTATTGTTCATTGTCTGGAATTAATTTTTCTTATTAGTGTACTATAATCGTGCTAAAAATCGGGAAACTATATTTTTTTTAACAAATCGGAATTAACTGTTTAAAAAACAAGAACTTTAAATTCCGATACGAGCGAGTTGAGGAACAAACAATTTTTAGCTCCTGTTTTTAAAGAAAAAAAATTTAATTCAAGGGATTTTGCATCAGTGATTAAGGCGTTTGAAAATTCAAATCGGACAGTCGAACAAAGTGAAAATGACGCCTTAGTAAACCAGCCCCTGCTGTAGATGACGACCCTTCTAACCGCAAGCAGACAGGGTCGTAAATTATTGGATTGTAAACTAGACCTAATTTCAAGATAAATTTCTTTAGGATCCAGTTTACAGAAAACGAAATTAAAATTTAATTCAGAATTAAACTAATTCGAATTAAGTTGCTATTTATTTTGCATTAACAAACTTCAAGTTAAATAAAAATGTATTTTTTTTGATAAAAAATTTAACACACCATTTCTTGAAGAAAATTATGCATTAATGATGACATTGACGAAAAAATAAATCATTATTAATTAAAAAAACTTTTTTAACTGTTT